GAACCAGGACTGAATCATGACTAAAACAGGACTAAACCAGATCTAAACCAGGTCTAAACCAGAACTGAACCAGGACTAAACCAGGACTAGAGCAAGACTAAACCAGATCTAAACCAGGTCTAAAACAGGTCTAAAACGGGACTAAACCAGATCTAAACCAGGTCTAAACCAGGACTAAACCAGTTCTAATCCAGGTCTAAACCAGAACTGAACCAGGTCTAAACCAGTTTTAAACCAGGTCTAAACCAGACCTGAACCAGGACTAAACCAGATCTCAAACAGGACTAAACCAGGTCTCAAACAGGACTAAACCAGGCCTAAATCAGAACTGAACCAGAACTAAAACAGGACTAAACCAGGTCTAAACCGGGTCTAAACCAGAACTGAACCAGAATTGAACCAGCACTGAGTGTGATAGTAGGTTTAATCTGTACTGTGGAACATTCCAGGGAAAGCAGTAGCATTTCCATGGAGACAAACAGGTGGCAGACCCTCAACTAAAACTTACACAGTTTATTAGTTGCAGCTCAGGCCTTTTAATGAAACGTTCTATTTAAAAATTGGTTTACTTTGATTATTCTGCTTTGCGTCAGTGGCGTAAAGTAGTTTCAAAATTATCGTTTACTGCAATATTTCTCTGCAGTATATCATGTTTCAGATTTTATTCGTGCCAGGCCTATTTAGACTCATGGGCTTTACAGATTCCGGGAAGTTTATGTGTTGGAAATGCAGAGAGGCTCGGACAGCTGTTAGCATGCGTTAGTTTTGATGTGATGTAAATCCGGTGGATCAGGAGAGCGTAGCTGCGTTTTATGAGCAAACACGTTTAGCTGTGAAAATCCATTTCCTCCACTCGATGTGTTAAAGGTTGTGTCTCGTCAGCTTTTCAGAGGGACAAGGACAGGTCTGCACTGGAGCTGGAGCCTCTCAGCACCACAGAGCCAGCGCCATCACGGACACTCACACACCAGAGTTAACAGGGTCCCAGTTTATGAATGTGTACAGAGTTTAAAAACACAGTGGAGCACTTCCTGTAGTGTTTTTTCCACTTGAGAGAAGAACTCAGTTTAAATACCGTATTTTCCAGGCTATTAGGCGCGCTCTTAAGCCTCTAACCCTATATCAAAAAACAACCACGCGCCCCGCAATCCAGAGCGCCCTATACACGAATCCACTCGGGTGTCCCAGCACGACTTCACTAAACTACAAAGCCACATCACCCGCAGCGCACGCAAACACACACGGAGCAGACGAGGAATGGAACGGAGGAACGAATCAAAAAAGCGAGTGCAATGTGCCACTTCTAGCCACAACTGAACAACTGAGTCACTGCAAACACGCCAACAATCCGTTGGTCCCAGACAGCACCCTCCCTACACGCCACAACTGAACAAACCCGAGAGTCACAAACAAACAAAGTCCCACTGACCCATCGAACTGTTGTGTTTAGTTTAAAGTCCGGTTCGGTTTATTTGTGAAAAAAGTTAGAAAATAGACCATTTAATGAATGTTTATAATCCAGAGCACCTAATAGCCCGGAAAATACGGTATGCAGGCATAGTTGTGTGTTAAACATGTGTGAATGAAACAAAACACATCTCCATGTCTGTTTGTGATTAAACAAAATTATAACTTAGATTAGAAAATAGCGTAATATTCACCTTTTAAATTTGTTTGCATTAAGATGATTGGGTTTAAAAGGCTAACAACAAATAAACAAACATTATAATCAACTGAACTCATTTGAACATTTGTGTTTGTGTTTTGATTTTGTTTTTGTGTCTATCCTTTGAAAATACCAGATTTTATGCATTATGTTTTATCCTTCAAATCAAATTAACTTCAAATTATGAATCTAATATTTACTTACTTACTTACATATCTTGGACAACCACTTTGTACTAATATTATTTCTGAAGTACTATTTGCTTTTTACTACACTACCCACCTCTGGTTATGGAAACACTGAGTTCAGCCAGTTCCCTGCGTCTTAGTATTTGAATGCCCCGTGTTCTTTCCTTTTTGACCCAGCTTATGTAAAGTAAACCACTTCTCACAGATACAATAAGGAAAAAGCCTTGAATTCTGACTGTTGTATTTCTATGTCATTTCTCTGTCCATTTCACCCTGTTTTCCCGCCACACATTACCGAAGGCCAATTATTTCTCCCAGTCTAGTTCAGCGTAGTATTATTCCTCTACAGTTAAGTGATTATGGATAATAGCAGCCATTTTGTTTGGTCATAATGTGGATAAGTGAAGGTGAGAACAGGAGGAGAGAGAGACATTTTATTTTATTTATTTATTTTTTTGTTCTGTGTGACTGAGTACTGCACTTTTCAGACTTTTAGACACCACTGGACACTCAGCATCGGCTCTGACTCACACTTTCTGACATTTTTCACTTTGTCGATGGGTACAGTCTGACCTCACTGGGATTCAAGCTAAATCACTGGTATCTAAGCTGGGGATGCATTGATACAGCTTTTTTCTGTATTTACCGATACCCTATTTTAACTTAGCCAGGCTGGTGCCACCTAATGATCTCAGTTTCATTTCTCTCCAACAACTGGTTCATGAATCGGAATCGGAAAGCAAGAAGTTTAAGAGTTTGTAGACCGCGCACCGGCCAATCAGCAAAGAGCTGTGAAGCCATGATGTCCAACTCAAGCGTCTGTCTGGGTCCCTTTTGTGGTACAGCACAACAGTAAACAAAGCGGTCGAGATGGATGTAGACGAAGACGTACATTCTGTGTTGGCAACGATTCCCGAGATCGAGGATTTTCAAACTCTGCTTTATTTGCTGTTGTGCCGGCAATTACTTGGACACCACTGAGCGTTCCAGCACATTACATGCTTCACAACCAAATAGCAGCGATTGGTTAAATAAAAAATGTTTAAAAAGTACCTGCCTACCATCGAGCAAATGAATACTCGTGCTGTGAGGTAAGACGATTTCCACGAAGATGATGAATCAGGCTAAAATATTATTTATTTCCTTTAAACACAAACAGCATGTGGTAAATGTGATCCACATGTCTTTTGTAACTGTTATTTATCATTAAAAGTAACTACAGAACAGCTTTATGAAATATTACAAGGTGTTTTGAGCCAATATTGTCCATTAAAGAGTATTATTACAACAATTACCGACCAAAATGCATGTTACAGTTATTAATACAGTTATATGATACCAAAAAATACTGTTAAAGCATAAATTCTTGCTGGGGGTGAACTTGCCTAGATCTGATCTGTAACTTGATTTTGTAGTGTCATCTTTAAATAGATATAATTAGGTTTAATCCTGTGAAATATCTGACATAAAGAAAAACATCTCCATGGAGACAAGCAGGCGCCAAACTCTTTATTAGAAAAATTACACAGTGCACCTTTAACTTTTACTAAAATATCCAAAATTAGAAACTATGGCTCAATAAAGATTTTCTAAATAACTTTTTTCCAGTCAAAGGTGAAAACGAGCCTCTTTAGGCTAGTGAAAAGCTATGTGCACTAATGAATATACGGCAGATTCATATCTTTAATTTTGTGTTTTATTTGGCAAAAGACAACAGTAAAGCATGCAATTATTCCACTGAAAATCCCCTCCGTCTTGGATAATTATCTCCACTGCACCACCCGGAGAAGACAAAAACAAACACTCACTCTGAGAACATAAAATACTTCTTCACTGGATTATAAGTGTATTAAAGTCTCTCCTACAATACTGTCTGCCATATAAAACCGCTGGTGCATAAACAGGCTCCATCAGTTTGACTTACAGGTGCTGCAAACTGCTGAGTCTTCTCTAAGTGTCACTAAATAAAGCCTGTGTGAGGAGGAGGTCAGACTGAAGGCTCTGAGCCAAAACATGAAGGACTGAGCACACAGACTGCACAGCTCAGCTCACAGCAGGCTCCATAAATCTGTACATTAGCATGGAGACATCTTCATCAGTGACAGGCTCGAGCCAAGGGACAGATCAGGCTTAGAGCATCTGACCTTGGATGGCCAGCCACAAACACAATGTACTCACAAATCAGACTACAGTTACTCACCAATACAGTACACTGGCTGGGATTCAGAATAAACACTTCTTTACTACTTTATGAAAATGTGAGTCTGGAATCAGATGGGTGTGACTGACAGGTGGATTAGCCAGTCAGGGACATGCATGGTCCGTCTGTCCAAAAACAAATAAAGGATAAAAATATCACACAAAGACTGAAAAACACATTTCTGCAGTTTCAATGATCAGTGAGGAAAGCACTAAACTCTGTTAATCTGAAGAGAGAGAATTGATTTTGATTGTATTTGTAAATGATAGATGACCAAGGAACTCCTTCGTTTCGCATGCATTACTGAAAAATACTGATTGGACAGACGGTGCAAAAATATTGAAATATGAATATTTCGTATCATTTAATGTGATGATACAGTTTCGAGATCATGGGCTGCTGTATTGATATATCACCAAGAGTGTTTTTTGGTGTATTTTACTAAATTATTTTGTTACAGAGCTACAGTTTTTTTGTTTGTTCAGAGGAAGGAAACTCGTTTATGTGACACATTTGACATATTCACTGTTTTGATGACTAAAATGTTTGTGTTTCATATTAACTTTGCACAAGAAGTGGTTTAACAAAGACTTTTAGTATCACCTCCATCATTTAGTCATTATTTTTTTATTGAACCATATCGAATTGATTTGAAATATATTGTATCGAACTGAAAGTGCACTGTATCGTGATATGCATCATATTGTGGCCTAGGTATCGAGATATGTATCGTATCTGCAACTTCTTAATGATACTCATCCCTACTGGACGGTCACATTTGGTCGGTCTTGAGATGCAACGAAGGAAGTTGAAACCAGATCGATGTCCATTTGTTCAAAACAATACAGAGAGATATTATTCTGGATTTGTCAGGCAAACTAATACATGCATTTATAGCACACTATCCACGTTTGTTACTAATGACATTTTCTTTCTGGTGTTGCAGACAGCAGCCAGGCGTCTCTGTCCCAGCCCTCTCTGACCCTCCAGAGTTTTCCATACGCAGGCTGTGAGTCTGTGGAGCTGTCCTACCAGAGTGGTATGTTTACATTACACTTCTTTTTTTCAGTTTTTCTGTTTCTTTCAGTGCAAAATGGGACGTTGTTTGGTAACTAGGGGTGTAACGATATCCAAGTCTCATGATACGATATCGTCACGGTATGAACCTCACGGTACGATATTTAATTAGATATTTTTTGGAGACTAACAGAACTGTTAATATGCGACGTTTTCCTCTTAAAATGCCTTGACAACACTTAATCCAAAGAACTAAGACTTAAAAGTGCTTAGAACTGTTATTCCTTCATGTAGTCTACACTGAAATGGAGCAAAGGATCACGGTCTATGTAGTTCTCTAGTCTTTTTTTTAGCTATTGCTGCACTATAACTCTTAATTTAAGCAAAGCGACTTGTAATTCGATATATTGTGATGGTCCACGATATTATTGTGAGAACTTTGACGATATGATAACACGATATTTCGGTTATTGTTACATCCCTATTGGTAACACATTGATATATTGTCCTGGTATCACATATCTGCATTAACATGTAACCTAATCAAATGCACTATTGTGATCTTACTCCGCCCCGCTGACTTTTGGCACTACAAAACCAGAAATCCAATTCATTTCAATTGAGAATTTGAGAAAAGTTGATTTGTTGAAAATTTGAATGTTCATGTGCACCAACAAGTCAACAATGCATGATTTTCTGTAAGCCTCAGTAAGTTTATACCCAAACATAAAACACTGTGTATAGCAAATTGTCACAGCAAGCAACCAAAACTGTCTCTAACTCTGCATCTAACTCTGTACAAGATAATTAGTTGTTTTTACATTACTGCTGTGCACTGTAGCCTTCATAGTGAGGTGCAGTGTACAGAAAAATAACTAACTGAACAAACTGCACAAAACCCAGTGCATTTCATATCATCTAATGTGAAGCGAGCAGTCTGCCTCAAAGAGCTCTTTGTTCTTGTTTAATCTTTCTCCATGTGTCTGTGCTGTCTATGCAGGTCAGTTCCAGTCTGGTCATATTCCTCCAGCCATTCGCGTGGCTGACCTCCTCCAACACATCACACAGATGAAGTGTGGCCAGGGTTACGGCTTCAAGGAAGAGTACGAGGTCAGACTGTGCACTATTGTGGTGGATTTTATATAGAATTCTGCTCATTATACAGTGCCTACCTCAAGCTAAAAGTGTTGAAAATCTTTGCTACAACAGTTTACAGTGTTTTTAGATACAAAAGCATTCAGAAGGATTAACACACTCTCTGCTCTTTAGTACTTTTACTTTGACATTTCATGTTTTGGAACGTACAGATGCACTGCGAAACATCTGTAGTGGAGGGTTCGTCACCTGCTTGTCTCCATGGAAATGTTATTGCTTTGTCTAGAATGTTCCACAGTATAAATTAAACGTACTAAGTCTATCACAAGGGAAACAAGCAGGTTACAGCAATACGCTACATTACAGTTCTGATCTGTGGAGAGTTGCCCTTGTTCACAGATGGAGTATTGTATTTTTGAGCAGACAGTATTTTTTGAGCAACCGAAACAGACGCAATGAATAAATGTTTGATGGATATACTTAATATCAGTGCCCTGATGATAAATACCAGCTTGCTCTGATGAAGGCCAATTGATTTTAACTTTATCTGCCATGTGGTATTAAAGGCTTTTAGTTATTTTTGAGTTCCTTAGTTTTTTCAATTTTGTATTTGAGACAGGTCCCTACACTGAAGAGCACCGAAAGGACAATTCTGCACAATTTCTGTATATCCAAGTAGCACTCCTGCCCCCCAAAATTGTACATACTTAATATCGTACCATGGAACATTCCTGCCAAAGCAATAACATTTCCATTGAGATAAGCAGGAAGCGAACCGTCCACCAGAAAGATTGCACAGTGCACCTTTAAAATAACGTATTTTATTGGAACTATACATGTTATCTCCAGTCCCTTAGTTTCATTTGGTGTTAATACATCATCTATTCCTATATATATTGAAAAAAAATTTAGTGTCTGGTGATAATTTATGGAGTTAAAAATACTGCTGCAGACATCCAGATTTCTACCTATGACGTCACAATACTGGGAAATTTTAAAATGAATGTTTTCTGTTTGCTCAGAAGGAGAGAGCCTTGTGAAGCAAAATACAACTCTAGGTATATTCATGATGATGTGTGACAACATTATAACATGCTTAAAAGCTCAAAACAGCCCTTTTGGCATAATGTGTCCTTAAGTGCGTTACTTTTCTCTGCATTTTACTGTGGCATTTCTCTTAAACTCCACTTGTGCTTCTCCAGAGAGACATTTCATTTATAGAATATGTCCCTTCCCTCCCCTCTCTCCTCCTCACCTCTCTCCTTTTTTCCTCCATAACTCCTCACAGACACATCCTGATCATTCCATGTGCTCTGGACCGTGAGCTCATTTTCTGTGGAAATTCTAAATCCCTTTGTGTTCCTCTTTTCCCCTCTTATCTCTCTCTCATTTCATTTGTCTCTGGATAAAACATGGATTCTTGGAGCCCATACGAAATATATAAATCTTCATCTACATTCCACCTTCTATCTATCAGAGCTCTGTGTTATAGAATGTGGAATTTTGTCCCTGGGAGATGCTTTACATTGTGTTTCCATATGCTGTTGTCGCTATGGTTTACATCCTCTGACCCTGGCGTGTAAAAAGTAGACGTGCAAGTAGACGTGTAAAAGGCATGTAAAATACTGTACACGCATCAATTTGTGGGGAATATTATTACTACTTTGAAAAAGATATTGCTTTTTTAATGCTGGTTTATGAGTGTTTCATTAAAAATTCATTCACATTCATTCACACATTATACTTTAAAGGTCCTATATTACTCAAAATTGACTCTTGTGAGCTTTAAGCCTTGATACAATGTTGTTACCTCATCCAAAACATCCAAAACATACCTGGAGTTGTGTTTTGTCCTTTATTATTAATCTGTCTACATCTCCAAAGCTCCAAATTTCCTCTTGTCATGCCTTCAAGCGGTAGTTTTCAAGTTAACCGCTACCTTTTGTTCAGTAGAGATTGGCAATTCCAGGGCTGAAATCACCCAAATGATTCTAGTGAAGGTGTATGGAGTTTAAAAACACAGTGGAGCACTACATGACATCACAAGGTGGAACAGAGTGTTTTCAGTTTGAGAGAAGAACTCAGCCTAAATATGCAAGAATGACAAAAATGAAAGACAAAATGTTAGATATATTTTAAAATTCATCTTACTCTTTCTTTCAAATACAACAGTACAACAAAGATCCTTTAAGATTTTTTATTTTATTATTATTATTATTATTATTATTATTATTATTATCAGATTTCTTTTGAGCATGTAAACAAATGCAAAACTAGCTGTTCTTTCTATTGGTTTATCAGATTATTATAGTTATCCGATTTTTACTGATCACAAAAATTTACTCAGTGATTAATTTTGGTCAGCAACAGCATTTCTAAAATACCTATCTACATTTTCCATTAATACTTTTCCTTGACACTTTCTGGAGAAAAAGTGCTAAAATAGTGCTGCTTGATCCGGCCACTGCAAACTAGACTCTGGATACTGTGGAGATACATGATGAAAAGAATTCCTCTTTTTGTGTCAGGCCTCCATCACAGTGGGCCAGTGTCCCGGAAAAACCTTTTTAACATTTCTACCTCACAGTCTCACACTGGTTTAGTCTCCTCTTTCTCTCTGTTTGATTTGTTTTAACCGAGTCAAGGACAGAGCCAGTCCAAAGTGTTCACACTGAGCTGCTTTTATTACATTTGTGTAATTCACATGTCTCTACGCCACAACTCCTTTTAGCTGCATTTTTTCTTCCAAACACATTTTAATCTCAACATGACCTTTTTGAATTGGAACATGTGCTCGTTCAAAGGCACAGGCAATAATAATGGGCCTTATTTCATTTAATTATTAAACTGTAAAGCAGAGATATCTACAGTCGATTGTCATACATAAAACCAAGTGAAGTTTGTGTTGTAGCGCCCACAGCTTATGTAAATGTACAGACGCATAACCCTCCCACGATGCTCCCACCTCATGTCCAGAATATCTCTCTCTCCAACACAGGGAATAGGAAAGTGTATTTTAGCATCAGAGTCAAGTCAAACAAATCAAAAAGTGATAAAATATACAGTAATTAAAAGTCATATTACACAAAATGGACTCCTGTGAGGTTTAAGCCATGTCAGAGAGTTGTTACCTTCTCAAAACATACCTGGTGTTGTGTTGTGTTTCATTCAAACTTGTTGAGTTATTAGTCTGTCTGCATCTCCCAGGCTTTACTCCACCTTGTTCTACCTTTTACATTTTGTTGAGTTGAGATTGGAAATTCCAGGGCTGAAATTATCCAAATGATTCTAGTGAAGGTGTATGGAGTTGTAACACATGACATCACAAGGTGAAACACAAGTTTTTTTGTTTGCAAGAAGAACCCAGCCTCTACAAGAAAAAAACAAAAACAAAACAAAAAAAACAATATCTAGGTAAATTAAAATTAAGAACATTTTACTTTGAGTAGATTCACCTGACAAGTAAAATTATCTACCAATGGAATAAGTGTGATTTCTTAATTCAAGCAACATTAAAATTTGTTTCTTATTTTAAGTGCCAAAAGTTGTTGTTTTTCTTATTTTAAGTGTAGCAATATGTAATTTCATATTTTAAGTATAAAAAGTCTTATTCCGCTGGCAGATAATTTTACTTTTACTCAAATCATGATCAAACTTTCTGAATTCCAGTCATCTTAACTTGACTAGATTTTGTTTTTTGCAGTGTAGGCATGCAGCATTTGTGTGTTAAACGCATGTGAATGAAACATAACACAACTCCAGGTAAATTTTTGATGATGAAACACTAGAACATAGATCAGTAAATAGCTTAATATGGGCCTTTTAAACAAGAAACCCAACATAAAGGGCTCTTGATGATCAGCGAGTAACTTGAAATTGTGCACACTCACTCATCAATCTACTGTACTGGTGTTTTTCAGATTCTAGAATGTAATGATATGATGTTCTAGCCAGGCTGGTGTCACTTAGTGCCTTTGCTTAATTTAATTTCTCTCCAGCGACTAGATCAGGAATCGGAATACACTAGATTGTTTGCAAGAACCCCAGATGTTGTAAAGCCATGACTGGGTCCCTTTTGTGGTACAGCACAACAGTAAACAAAGCGGTCGAGATGGACGTAGACGAAAACATTCATTCTGTGTTGGCAGCGATTCCTGAGATCAAGGATTTAAAGCTGGAAAGAGAATGTTTGGTGAATTTTATCAAGGGAAAGACGTTATTGCCCTTTTTCCTACGGGATTTGGCGCATTACATACATCATGACCAAATAGGAGCGATTGGTTAAATAAAAAATGTACCCTCCTACCATTGAGTGAACGTATCCTCATGCTGCGAGGTCAGGCGGTTTCCACGAAGTAAAACCGGCTGATGAATCAGGCTAATGATACTCTACTAGACACGAAATATCCTACAAAACCATAAATGTTGAACCTGATCATTTGTATTAGTGACCTGACCTTAAAATTTGCTAACAACAAAACTCAGCAATTCAACAATACTCATTTTCACTGCCCCATCTGTATTAAATATTCTTATCCTTTCGAATGTCGTGGTGCAATCGGAAATCTAGAAATCTTAGGACACTGGAATCATAGCTAACATTGTCGAATTTCTTTCATGGGCAAGTGTTTTTACTCCATTGTGAGATTTCAAAATTCCCCACAAATACAACAATAATTCACAGTCTTGGTTTTACCACACCCCCGTGACTGTGACTTAGTACAGGGCTCTCTTCACCTGTTTGACTTTCTAACTCCTGCACTAAAGTCATGTCTTGATTTACAAGTGGCACCAGTCCCAGATCTCTCATTAGACCACGACTCTCCTGTCCAAGAATGAATACTGAATGTTTCGAACGCCCGGACTTCCCATATCAATTATACAGAACAAAGATGTGCCAGTCCAGCCAGGGGCAAAAGGCGTCATTATTTATTCATTGCTTGTTTGAAGGACTTTTTTCTTTTACTTTCTTTCTTTTAAACATGTATTTGTTAAAGGTGCACTGTGTAACTTTTCTGATGGAGGATGCGCCACCTGCTTGCCTCCATGGAGATATTACTTTGCCATTGTTTTTTCCATGATTATTCCACAGTATGGAAATAAACTTGGTAATTTAGTTTAGTTAGGTTATTTTCTTCAGTCCATTAACATAATCATCCATCATATTACAATGATTTAAGACAGAAATTATGTATTTTATGCATATTACTAAAGTGATTCTATAGACCGAAGGGGTTTAGGCGGAAGTTTTAACACTAACCCTATTACATATAAAACAGGATTCAAGACAGCCGAACTATTTACAAAAAAACAACACAAAACTTATCTTTTATAAGTGCAGGAAAGAATATGTACTTAATTCTTTTGGTATACACACATACACAACACAGACACTGTTACAAACCATCTCTGCTAGGGACAGGGGAAGTAACAAAAGAACCAAGGTGGAGAATGTAAAAGATAAATTAACAAAACATAATAACCTAATAACCTAATAATAATAACCTAAAGTAAGAAACAAAATAACACGATTAACATTTAACGGGTTTTGTGCCAAAAAAAAAACTAAAAACGCAGGTCTATAAAAAACAAGTGATTAAACTAAGGGACACAAAACAAAACTAAATCACAAGGTCCCCAAAGTAAAACCACATAAACCCACAAATAGAATCGAGTGACAAATTAAAAAAGGCACAAAACAAACTAAAACTAAACAAATGTCTCACGACAAACACGTCACAGGCTGGAGGTGAGGTGGGCGTAGACAAACCCCACCAATCACAGACCAGGGCTTTCACAGCAGGAATCAGGACAACCAGCAAAAGAAATGAAAGCACACAAAACATATTAGAACTGAAGGCTTCGGGCTGTAACAGACACACAATCCAATACAAGTCGATGTTCATACACACAAACACACAAACTGACCCATGTTCATGTTAGTGCTCATAGCCATGTGTATAAATGGACACAGGTTCATGGTCAGATCTTTGGAGAAATAAGCCTGCACATTATGAGAATTTGTATTTTTAAGGTATTTTTGAGCTATAAAAGACCTGTAATTGAACAAATGAAAGGCAGATATAGTCCAGTTTGGTCTTCTAATAATTTATGTTATTAGGTTCTTTATTTAGAGCAAAAGTTTGTTTTCATACCTGACAGTTTCGACTGCTCACTAGCGCTCTTCCTCAGAGTCATGTGATGTTGCTGTGGTGTGTTGTTTTGGCACTGTTTTCCTACTGGAGGAGGCAGGACGACAGCGCCATCTGCGGTCCAGCTTCACCAGGACAGAATCCCAGACGTTTGAGACTAAAAAGGCCCCCTTGTCCTGGTTTATAGTCCCGTGGGCACGTTTCCGTATTTCGACTGTCTCTTTAATCCAGCAACGGTGTTTGTTTCCTCTGTCCCAATGATACTTGCTCTGTCTCAGTTCATAATGTGTTTCTGTCTTTTACAGTGATCAGAAATGGTCGATTTGAGTTGTTCCTGTTCTCCTTTGTGTTTTGTTGCTCATGTGCGCACCTTCGCTGTTTCCTTCTCGCATTCTGTTCTGTGTTCCTTTTTTCGTGGACTGAACTGTACTCTTGGTCTGAGAAAGGCAGATATGTTTAATCTTCAAATAAGCAAGTAGCGGACCCTCCACTGTAGAAGTCGCACAGTGCACCTTTAAAGAGTACAACAGATTGTTCCGACTCCCTTTTGTGCTGTTAGCCAATGTGTTTAACCCATTTAGAGCAAGGACACAATGTGGAAGCACTCTCTTTATGGTAAACTGTGTGTAATTACAACATTGTCTTTGAATGGTGAAGTATTGGGATTCACTTGGCAGAGCAGGTTGAACGGCCCATATGTGGATTGTACATAATAAAATACAGTGTTATAGTGCTGTTAAATGAGTGTAATGTAAACCACTAAAGCTCAAAGCTCCGAGCTCAGCATATGGACAGAGACTATTTTCGGGGCTCGTTCCGCACACGCAGAGGTCGCTCACACGCTCCCTGTAGACAAGAGCCATTACAGCTAAAGATGGCTGATAACACTTTGACTTTCTCATGTGTGACCTAAATAAACACACAATACAATCCAAAAGCACTGGACAGAGACAGACACCTGAACGCACCGCTCATTCAGATGGAAAATGGAGTGGGTAGGAACATATGGAGGTCTGTTCTTGTTTAAAGGTGCATTGCGTTACTTCTCTGGTGGAGGGTGAGTCATCGTCTTGCCTATCTTGAGGGAGACAAGGCTAGATTATGGATCAGATCTGTGGAGAGGCAACCCTGTTCACAGAGAGAATTGTTGTTTTTCTGAGCAATGAAACACCCATAATGGATAAATGCTAGATAGATGTGTTTAATGTAATACCATGGAATTTTCCAAGCAAAGCAATAACATCTCCATGGAGACGAACAGGTGGCGGTCCCTCTACACAGTGCGCCTTTAAGAGAAGCTTACAATTAAGTATTGTGATATTGCTGAAATGAATTAGCCTGATTCATCAGCCGGTTTCACTTCGCAGAAACTGTCTGACCTCGCAGCATTAGGATTTGTCCGCTTGATGGTGGGCAGATACTTTTTTAATTTAAGCAATCACTGCGATTTGGTCATGACGTATGTAAAGCACCACTAATGGGGCTAACTGGTATATTAAGCTTTTCCCAAATCCCGTAGGGAGAAGTGCAATAACGTCTTTCCCCTTAATGAAATTCATCAAACATTCTCTTTATTCCAACTTTTAATCTTCGATCTCGGAAAACGTTGCCAACACAGAATGTCTGTCTTCGTCTACATCCATCTCGACCGCTTTGTTTACTGTTGTACTGTACCACAAAAGGGACCCAGTCAGGCGATTGAGTTTGACGTCATGGCTTCACAGCTCTTCGCGGATTGGCCGGTGCACGGTCTACAACTTCAGAGGTTCTTGCAAACCGTCTAGTGTATTCCGATTCCTGACCTAGTCGCTGGAGAGAAATGAAACTGAGCAGAGGCACTAGGTGGCACCAGTCTGGCTAGAAATGAACATGAGTGAGGGTATAAACATGAAACAATTAAATTCTCCAAAGAGTATTATCCAAAATGTCATTAATTCAGTAAAATGGACAGTAGGGCAGGGCAATATAGCATATATTTTGAAGCCAAACTTTACGAAGTTTGGATTCCACTCCTCCTAGCATATCTCTTTCATTCTTAAAGTTTTAGTAGGCTTGTCAAAAGAATTAAACATCAGATACTAGAAAATGGGAAACTAGATACTCTCATTTGAGCAAGTATTGATAAAAGTCACACAGGACAGAAATTTTTCCTGAGCTTCCTTTCCTGAACAGCTTTAGAAGGACCATGAACCACTATGAAGCCTACCTGAACGACCGAGTGATTACACAGATATAAGACCACATTTTCTTTTATATTGAAAAGAAAATACTATGTTGAAAATAACAGTCTGTTGTTTTAAATGATACTGGAATCAGTATCGAGTATCAAATCTATTTCTAAGTATTGAACTCAACTTTTGTGGCATTGCGGAGCCTCCACAGCCAGTGTTAAAGTCCTTCCCAGATCTATCAACATATATCACCAGCAATATGACCCAAAACTAACAGACATTGTGCAAATTCTATAGCAGGTTCCTGATGTAATGTAAAGAAAACATGACCGTTAACAGCTTTTTACATAATCCAAATACATTATGCATTCTTTTTGTTGTTTGTTTACTCTACTCTAAACCTTTCATTGCCCTGGACGGTAATGGTCTGTAGCAGATCATGAGTATTATTAATATTCATGTAACCTCTCCGTGAGTGTGTGTGTGTGTGTGAGTGTGTGTGTGTGTGTGTGTGTATGTACGGGCTCTGGGCATGAGGCCATGTGTCCCCACTCTCACTTACATCTGTGTTTGTGTGTGTCCATGCAGGCCCTGGCAGAGGGACAGGCGGCCCCATGGGACACAGCCAAAAAGGACGAGAACCGCAACAAGAATCGCTACGGCAACATCATCGCTTGTGAGTACTGCACCGGCACAAAAGGGTGTAATGTGCAGGATCAAAGTACACTCATACAAACTGCACTTACACAACTATAAAAGAAGTATTTTCAATGTATTTAGTATTAAGAGTGTCTATTCATATTGTACAGGTGAGCTCTGTTGTGGTTTGTGCTTTGAAATGGCTTGGCTTGATTTGGTGAGTTTTATTATTTTAAAGTGAAACTATACACACAGGGTTCCCATGGTCATGGAAATTAAAAATGTCAATTTCCCAGGCCTGGAAAAGTCTTGGAATTTTGTAAATTCAATGAAAGAATTTGGAAAAGTCATGGAGTTTTAGTATCTCTTTCACGCAACTACAGTGTTCTGTTAAGTTATCATTAGGCTATTATGATTATTTCCAAACATATGCGCCATTTGTTTCAAAGAGACAACAATAAATGCACTGACAATATTTTGAATGTTAAAAAAACTATAATACCAAACCATAAGGTGAGTGGAAAGGGTTAACATTTCATATTTAGCCCTAAAAGTATGATCAATTCTACACATGTAGGTGCCGTAAAGTCATGAAAAATTAACTTTAGGTGATGAAAAATTAATGGAAAAGTTTTGAAATTTTGTGAAAAAGAGTGGGAGCCCTTTACACTAAATCTACTTTTGTCGCTACCAAACTGTGTATATGGTGTTTTAATAGCATTATATAGTGCTCCTAGTCATTTTTTTGGCAATTTTAGTGCAAATTATGTAAGTTTGCAGCTTTTTGGTCAAAGTCTGTGCTTTCTTCAGTGGTCTCTGTGCTTTAAAGTAGTTGGTAACATCACAAAAGACTGCCCTGATTACAACCAAGTGTTTCTGATTACAAGCTCCTGGCTGTAGGGGCAGAGGTTGAAGTGTAGATACCTATTAAACTAATCAAACTGTTCCTTATACCTCTATACCCTTTTCTTTCCCCTTTAGTCCAAGTACTGCCCAGCTCTATTTGAAATGTAGTTGAGGATGGACTTTAGATGTTTAGTGACACTTTCAGTAGTGTTTTCAGTTGCTTTCTAGTCAAAATTAAGTTACTAACTGAGCCCCATACAATACAAGTGATATCCTTTTCTTTCTAAATCCCATTTTACAAAAGGCTTTTGAGCTGCCTCTCTGCCCTGTCTCTCCATATGTTTCTGATAAAGACATTAAACAGACTCATTACCTCCGGGGCCTCTGAAACATTTTCTCAGCAAAATGACTCTTTGTAAAATGACTGGGAGTGAGATGGACAGTTTCCATTACCAGCTCCTTGTAATTAAAGGATTTATACTAATAGCACGTTTATCATAATTCCTGTTGGCCCTGACAGCTTATTTCATTTCTGAGCAGTGTTTCATTTAAAATCCTTCAGGTTGAAGCTGTGTCGTTGCCTCCACATCAAACCCACAATAATGAAACGGTCCTGCTACGTGTTCACAAATGACCCTGAGGACGTTCAGTTCAGAATTAAACCAGAGATAGCAGCATCCAGCTTGTACTAATATAGACATTAGAAATACAGAATCATGAATATTTCTTGCTTTTGGCCGAGGTTGTCTGTCCTAACCAGCTCAGAGCGCAGACAATCACAGGGACATCATTAGTGGCACCGAGTCTGGAGTCACTCCACAGCTCCATAGTCCCTGTAGGACCATTCTGTATAATGGCCTCTGTCCCAGGGTACATGCAGCTATAACTGGCTCATTTGGAGATTTACTTGAAAAATAAGCTTTGATCATTATAAGAATGAAATATAAGATTCTCTCTTAGCAGCCATATGTGGATTAATTATTTGAATCAGAATTGACTCTTAGAAGAATTTGGGGTTGTGTAAAGAGAATTTTAATGATCTTGCAACGCAGGGTAGCTATGAACAAATGTTGCCTCTCTTTTGTTTGATGTTCTAGCCAAAATTCAGCTATATTTGATCAAAACAGATCTACTTGCAAGAAGAAGTAGTGTTGAAAAAATTAATTCTTAACAGGATTGCGATTGTGTGTTTTAACGATTCCAAATTCTCAATAATTAATTTTAAATCTGTGTTTCCATCATGGTGAAATGCATCGAAGAATGGATCGAGAATCGTTTTAAATCAAATTGGAACCTGAATGTAATCGCCTGGGACTTAAAGATTCACACTCCTACTTGGCTGTGTGGGCTCCGTAGAAAGAGATGTATGTACCACATTATTGAAGGTCTTACCCTCTTTCCTCTATTCTCACTTCATTCGTCCCATGTGATTGCACCTGACAGTTTAGCCATGTTTCCACATTAAGGGCAGCTGTCTCTTTTCTCATCTCTCTATAGCTCATATCTTCCTTCGGCTCAGTGAACAAGCGTCCCATATGGTCATTTATTATTCAGAGAAGCTTAAAGAAATACTGGCAGACGTGTGCATAAAACTGCTCATTCGTTCAGTCAAGTCAGATAAATTACACCACAACTTTCATAAAAAACCCAGAGGCAGCTTGACACGCCTCGACTCTCCAGATCCTCTGCTCCTCACATAAAAAACATAATACAGCTATTACCAAATAAAAGCAGTGGTGTGGGGGCTAATGCAGGCTGACAGCTTCTGTATTGACACTGACCCAACAGCACAAATGCATTAGAGGCTGGGCCAGGGCTGAGGTCAAAGAGACACTTTTTCTGACAAGTGAAGTGAGTCGATGGAAGCAACAGTGGCAGGCAGAGATGAACAATAGAGGAGATAGAATAGTGCAGACTCCACTGTAGCCTATTAAACACTATGGGTGTGCTAACATATTGAAATATTGATATATCGTGATACTAAATTTGGTGATAGAGTAGTCCACACTAACAGTACTCTATCAAGATGAGTATTTGTTGTTATATTGTACTAAATTATTTTGTGACGTGGCTATTTCTATTATGTTTTCACTAATTGTATATAGTTCCAACGTGTATAAGAATATAAATCTCTTACTTGCCTAAAATAAATTTATAAATAAAACTGTGAACAATTTTGATGTTCAGAGAAAAAGGAAACGTGTTTATGCAATACACTTGGCATATTCATTGCTCTAATGGTTAAAATTAGTTTACCCCATGTTGTCTTTGCACAGGTAGTGTTTGCAAATAAATACTGTTATTAAAATATATTTGGTTCTTAAAAATCAGTGTGTCACTTGCAGTACATCAGTTAACACATGTATGGTCATATCAAGATATTGTATCATGAGACATATATCGAGTATCGTAACAAATCACAAGGGACCCTGTTCATTTCTTTTCTTTTTTTTTTAACTATGTGGGCCCTAAGATTGAACCTTGAGGAACACCTGTTTCATACATTCATACATACAACCCAAAACATGCTACAGGTCTCCATGAACAGTTGATAGTCAAGGTCAGTTAAATACAATCAATCAATGAACCTGTCCAGGGACTACAGGTGGAAATTAGCACTGATGCTACAACCTGATGTACAATGCATCTCTCCTGTTAAGGTAAAATGCAAAAATTGTGTGCTGTCCCTGTCTGAAATAAATAAATAAATAAAACATTGACACTGACATCCCCCAAAACAGACAAACTTCATGAACACAAGAGCTCTACAACTTCACATATATCTAGCTGTTGTCTTTTTGAAGTTTATTTGCTAACAAAAAAAATAGCATCAAAATTCAGTACTCAAACACTGAACACATTTTCACATCGTTCACATCACTGACTGTATGCTATGAACTTTCATTATTAAGCCAGTCATGTTCATTTTGTCTTCTTATGTACTTTAATTTCTTGGGTTCTTTTTAAAGACAAAACAGTAAAGTGTATTTACCTTGTTGACATGTTACGGCTGCTCGCTGCAAGCCATCTTCAGAACTGTCACTGGTGTTGGTGGTGACGTGTCGTTTATCAGCTGTTGCTACTTCCTGTAGGCGTGGTCAGCCTGATTGACCTGGCAGGACGCTCAGACTGACCACGCCTCCCATCGCCCGGTGTTCTTTGGAGGAGGGTGTCCCAGGTGTGTGAAAAGAGGAACGCTCTGTCATCGCGGTTAATGCTGTCCGCGTCTTGTTTACAGATTTTAATGGAATCCCTGATCCAGCTTTTCAACTTGCTGTTTTCCAATCCAATGACCCAAGCCCTGTCCCAGTCTAGAATGTGGTTATTTCATTATTATTCTTTCAAAATTGTATGAAGCAACACAATTTTGTCGAGATATGGAAACCTTTCTTGAACGTTTTGCCAAGATTGGACTTGATTATTAATGTGTGATTGTCTAGTGGTTTTTGCGTGGTTTTGTGTCGGCGTGTTTTTGGTCTATTTTTTGCTTTGGTTTGTTAAATATAAAAATGGAAGAAAAAATATATAGTATTCTAGGTAGAGAATCACCATTTACTTGCTACTGGCTACTTTCTCTCTACTTACTATTGGAATAGCTGCAAATATGTGCAGGGGGGAGCTTTCAGCAAACACTGTACTAGACCCTGAGCATACGTACTCCTCTACTCTTGTATGCTGTAACCTTTCTGCGGTCTTTCATGGTCTCAGGCTCAGATTCTGTTTGCTCTGAACTCACAAACATCTGCAGCCCTCTCAAGTGTTTGACCAAAGCCCTATAGCTCAAATATAAACACTCTAGCTCTGTCAGACACCCACAGCCTCTCAAACACCAAGAGGAGAAGCATAAGCCCAGTTTGTACAGTCAACAAGCACAGCACCACAGCTCAAGATTCAAACGAGGGGTAGGCGATTCAGCCAGAAAATATATTTGTTTATTTATTTATATGTTTATTTGTATTTGTTATATTTAAAGGTGCATTGTGTAAGTTTTCTGGAGGGGTTTGCAGCCTGTTAAACGTATCTGTCTTGCATTTATTCAACTACAGGTTTTATATTTATTGCTCAAAAATATCTATTCTAGGCACATCTCCATGCATCAAGCACCGCCAGACCCAAAGTTACACCAAAAGTTACACAGTGCACCTTTTAGTGTGTATCATCATAATTTTCTTGGAGCCAGATCACGATTAG